GTTCACTAAGATATTTGAATCAGGAGGATAAATTGTTTTCAGAAGTTATTTCAAGACCTGGGGAAAAAATTCTTTGATAACAACATTTCCCAGAAAGCACTGGGAATGAAGTCATTTCTACAATTCTCCTATCTGGTTTCTAGGGGCTTTTTGGTATCTCTTTTCTCTATTATATAGACTAAATGTGGCCCTTTACTTCCTGACTTTGGGAGTTACTGCCTTTCTCTTGCCTGCAGCTTTAAGTACAACTCTGTGTTCAGACTGCAGACCCAGTAGCCCTCAAGAGGATTCAATGAAAGCTCCAATTAGTTGTTTTTAAGTTTTTAGTTATTGAGTGTGATTGTCTTTTTTTTAGTTTCAAACAATTCTAACTACTCACGGATAGTACCCTTGGCCTTTCTCTGTGATTTGGCATTAGAGTAACTAATTTGGAGAAAAAACACAGCTATATTCATTGGCTTCAGGTTTCTTATCCACAAATGACCATCCAACCATATAGGAAGTGGGCAATTTTGCCTTTGTCTATGGACATAACTCTCATGAATTGAGTAGGATCCAAAAAGTTCTTATGCAAGCGGCAACTGTGCAACATGAACACTAGTTTATGTACAAATTGATGAATTCCTCAGTTGATTTCCATGACCTTAGCTTTTACATTCTACCATATTCTTAGGGAAACTCCCCTATACAGGTGGTCCTCAACTTACAACAATTTGTTTAATGACCATTTGAAATTACAATGGCACTGAAAAAACTGACTTATGACTGTTTTTCATACTTATGACTATTGCAGCATCCCCATGATCATTTGATCCCCTTTTACGACCTTCTGACAAGTAAAGTCAATGGGGAAGCAATATTCACTTAACAACCATGTTACTAATTTAACAACTGCAGTGATTCACTTAATAACTTGGCAAGAAAGAATGAAAAGGGGGCAAACTTCACTGAACAACTGTTTTGCTTAACAATAGAAATTTGGGGCTCAACTGTGGTCATAAGTCAAGGACTACCTGTAGATATAATTTTTAGCTTCAGAAGTTGCAGTGGGTTAAATTTGTGTGATGCAAGTTGAATTTAGCTTGCAGTTTTTGGATCCTGTCTCAAATTTCAGAGTACTTTTCGACAGGAAGGTATCTCCTTTGGTTATCATGTCTTACTAATTAAACATCCCTAATGAAATTACTCCAATTTATCACTGATGATCTCCATTTCATTGTGAACAGGTATGTTTAGTTGTTATATGTCTTGCTTGCAATCATCTCTTAAATCTTTAACTGCTGATTACTAGTCAACTTAGAGATCCAGAGCAGCCAGTTTTTTAAATATGTAGACATGATTTAGACTAAAAACTGATGCCATGTGAAAAGAAAATAAACTATTCTAAAATGAGGGAGCCCTAATCTAAATATTTTTGAACTTGTTTTTAAAAAGAAAGAATCTGAATTTGAAATCAAGGCTCAAGCCACATTGACTCCCTGCTTCCTCCTGATTGGCTCGGGCTTGCATCAAAAACAGAAGCCCACCACATCCTGGAATAAGTCAGATTCAACCAGGTTTTCACTCTAAAGCAGGGGTCTTCAAACTTGGCCCTTTTATGACTTGTGGACTTCAACTCCCAGAATTCCTCAGCCAGGCACACTGGCTGAGGAATTCTGGGAGTTGAAGTCCACAAGTCATAAAAGGGCCAAGTTTGAAGACCTCTGCCCTAAAGAGTGCATTCAGCTGTCCATCCTCTAGTGTGGTGTATGAAAATATCTTCTTACAGTGTGGACCTTGGGTCTCTGGGGGTTCTCCAGGAACCCGCAAAATCAAAATTATTTACCAGCCTATGTTGAAAAACAAGACAATATTAAAATCCCAACAAACAATTGTGAAAAGTGGCAGTGGCAGCAAATGCATCAATTTTAATTTTTAATATAGTAAATATCAATAAATAAAACCCATACAAATAAAAGCTGTTCTGGGTCATCCATAATTTGTAAAAGTCAAAAGGGATTCTGACAGAAAAAAAGTTACGGTTTCTAAAGTCTATGTTGATAAACACTGCAAATGAGTTGGCATACAAAGAGGGGAGAGTTAGAAACCAAATATTTCTCTATATTATTTGGGTAGATTTTTCCCCCCTCTAGTTATTTTTTTTCTCCTTTGTTTAGCATTGACAAATAACAATACAGTGGAGATTTTGGCATAAAGTTCCAAGATTTCTATTCTTTTTATATCATAAAAATAACTCAATGTACTTTGTCTGCTAGAGTTAATCTTTTATTAATGTTAAACTGCACATTAATTGCGTACCTTTGCTAATTCTGTCTACATTGATATAGCTTTTTATTTAAAGTAAGTAAACACTTGCCAACAGTAACCTTCTCCTATTGGCCTAGGGAAGAAAAGTCACATATTTGCAAAAATAAAATGAACTAAAATAACAAAATGACCCAAGCTTTAAAGTTAAGGGATATCAATATTCAATAACTAGGGCAAGAACATTTCAAACTCCCAGGATATTCTTCTGCTTTGAAAGCTGCAATCCTTTAACAAAGGAATTACAAAAGGAGATTGTAGCATAAAATTAAACAAGAATTTACAAGGAAGTCCAATTCGATTTATTTAGACTTGCATTGTTTCCTGTCCAACAGCAGGTGCTTATTACCTGCTTATTACCTTAGCAATGTTTAATTGCATACTGTTGGCGTAAATTACTGCTCTTGTGAATTGTTTCTTTGTTTCTCTGTGGTTCATTCTCATCATGTTAGTAGTATTACTTTCTGTGTTATTGTGTTTTTTTTAGTTTACGTACCAGTGGATGACAATAGCTGCCCATTATTTTGGCATATATTTGAAGCAAGACAGGGAATCTGTGCCATTTTATAAGTTGGATAATTATAATTCCCAGCAGTCTCACCAAGCTTAGCCACCATTTGGGAACTGTCATTCAGTCAGCAACCACTAATGAGTCACTAATTCTCCATCACTTCGCCTGTGAATTTGATGGGACACTTTTTGAAATCACTGGGACTTCTTTTTTTTTTTGCTAGATTGTAACTTTTAAATTAGCCAAATTAAACAAAGGTGAGAATGCACTTAAGTATTTATTATGAACCATATGCAGGATGACAAGCCCCCTAGGGCAGGAGTAGGCAACCTTGGCTCTTTTATGACTCGTGGACTTCAACTCCCAGAATTCCTGAGCCAGCCATGCTGAGGGGAAAGGGAGAGGTTTCCAAGCTGAGCTATACTGGCTCAGGAATTCTGGGAGTTGAAGTCCACGAGTCATAAAAGAGCCAAGGTTGCCTACCCCTGCCCTAGGGCAAGAGGTTGAACTAGAAACCTCCAAGACATCTCCCCCCAATTTTGATTCTCTGAAGTTTGGTGGGATTAATGACCCAAAGAAACAAACTGTCTGCAAGAGATCTTCTGATGGCTTCTGCAACAAAGTGGCTGGGCTTGGGAATGAATAGGTAAACACATAAGGGAAATTAACCTTGATAATTTTATCACCTAGATAAGTGCCTGGACTTAGAACTCAATCCAAGCTAACCTTCAGACAAGTGTAAACAATATATTTCATATTGATTGGGAATGACATTTCTAACTTCCCCCCCCAGCCTCCCCCCCCTCTGAAAATGTACCAAAATAATGAAACTTGCACAGCCGCTGACTGTTTACTAAAGTTTCTTAGGTCTCCTGTGATTTTTCCTACTGGCAGTTAATGTCACATGCCAGTGAAATGTAAACTGAAATTTATTAACCAACTTTTCTATACCTTTTAAAGAAATACCATATGGGATCCAGAAACAGCCTAAGCAGCAGATTGGATACATCATTTTCAGACTACAAAGACCATAGTAACTGCATTCCTAAGCTGTTAGTCCATACTATCCTTCCAAGTCTGCATCTCAGATCCAACTAATCAACCCATTTTGGCCTACTATGAACCTGAGGTTAGTGATGTTACCATTCCATTTAGGCAACTGCAAACACAGTTTGTAGTCTGAGATAGAAGTCGCTTAGAGTCTGAAATAGAATAGAGCTGGAAGGGACCTTGGAGGTCTTCTAGTCCAGCCCCCTGCTCAAGCAGGAGTCCCTATGTCATTTCAGACAAGTGACTGTCTAGTCTCTTCTTAAAAATCTCCAGTGATGGAGCGCCCACGATTTCTGGAGGCAAGCTGTTCCACTGATTAATTGTCCTCACTGTCAGGAAGTTTCTCCTTAATTCCAGGTTGCTTCTCTCTTTCGTCAGTTTCCAACCATTGTTTCTCGTCCTGCCTTCAGGCGCTTTGGAGAATATTTTGACTCCCTCTTCTTTGTGGCAGTCTCTCAAATACTGAGATACTGCTGTCACGTGTCCCCTATTTCTTCTTTTCTTTAGACTAGTCAAACCCACGTCCTGCAGCCGTTCTTCATATGTTTTATTCTCCAGGCCTTGGATCATTTTAGTTGCTCTTCTCTGAACTTTTTCCAAAGTCTCAACATCTTTTTTTGTACGTCTTCCGCGTCCCTTAAAAACTATAGTGCAAACCTCATGAGCCGGTTTTATATTTCGCAGGACGCAGAGCTGGAATTCCCCCCTCCCCCTTATTTGCAACACTGGCACAGGAGGGTTTGGTAGCTGCTATTTTGATTTAAAAAAAACCTATTTTGACATTCGATCACCCTGTTTTGAATTTGTATAGCCATTTCTGTCCTTACAGTGTTTCTCAACCTTGACCATTTTAAGGCATGTGGACTTCAACTCCCAGAATTCCACAGCCAGCCATGCTGGCTGTGGAATTCTGGGAGTTGAAGTCCACATGCCTTAAAATGGTCAAGGTTGAGAAACACTGTTTGAGAATGAGAGAGAGAGAGAGAGAGCGTGAGGGAAAGAGACCCTTAGCCAACTCACTGCGTACGCGCACAGATGAGGAGGCGGAGCGCTTGGGCGAGCAGGTGGGCGGAACCGTCGTTGTGGCGACGGCAGGGGGGCGTGGCCTCTCCCAGCGCCCGCTATAACTGGAGCGGCGAGCGCATCTCGCCAGGCGTTTACTTTTTTTTTCTTCTTCTTCTCCCTTTCACATCATGAAGAGGCTGATGGTGCGGCTGCTGTGGGCGCTGGCAGGTACCGCCGCCAGTCTCTCCCTCCCCGCTCGGACGCGGCGAGCGGATGGGCGGTTTTTCCAGCCGCTCTTGCTTCCAGCAACCGAGCCGCTGTCTGAATCCCTTTGCCCCTCCCGCGATGCTTTCCTTGGCGGTGCCCTCGATGGGGGTCCGTTGGCAACCCCTAGAGCAGGGGGTAGGCAACCTTGGCTCTTTTATGACTCGTGGACTTCAACTCCCAGAATTCCTGAGCCAGCCATGCTGGCTCAGGAATTCTGGGAGTTGAAGTCCACGAGTCATAAAAGAGCCAAGGTTGCCTACCCCTGCCCCAGAGAGTACTGGCTGGGACGAGGTGGTGGTGGGGGGAATCCAGGCAATTATTGTATGGGACTTTGGTCTTCCCTGCTAACCTCTCCATTTCTTTTCTCCATCCGCACCCGAGGACTCCTGTTGATGCTTTCCCTCGTGACAAGCAGCACTGAGGTGAGTGTTGAGAGTCCAAGGGGGTATAATGAGCACACTCTTCTCTCGTCTCGGTGTTAGTTTGTAATGTTGCAAAGTTAATTGAAAAGTTAATTTCGAAGCAGGGTTGCTGGCTCTTTTTCCCCCTGCAGCAAGTCTGGGGGTGCCGTTTCAGCCACCTGCTAGGAGGCTGTTTGTTCTCGGAGCGATCAGGGACTCAAAATAGAAATCAGATGAGAAGCTTCCCTCTTTTGGGACCAGAAAGTTGTGTCCCATAATTAGGAGGTTCATGGGAACTGCTGGAAAGCTCTTCAGAAAGAAAGAAAATAATCTTGCTTACTGTATGTCCAAGAGGTGATGTTGGCATTTGTGGGCTTCAAGCTATAGTCCTGGGAGAGTAAACGTGAACCAAAATGTTTCTGGGGTATGTTAGCTGCACACACACACAAAAAAAACTATTTAGGGATTAAATCCTAGCAGAAATAAAAAGCATTCTAGGCAACGTCTTTCGTCCTTTGAAAATGAATGCTAGCGCCCTCCCCCCGTCATCTTCAGTTTTAATTGTCATATGGAGTTGTGCATTTTGCCACAAAGATTACTGGGTTAAAAAAAATCTGGTTTCTCATGAAGGGCAGATATATAGTATGTTTTCACTATGCTTAGCTGTAGATATAGCATTCTATATAAATATTAGATTTAGGCTTGCGTTACCAACTAAGGTTTTCTTTAGAATCTCATCCAAACAACAGACAGAGTTGAAAGTTTGGACTTTCTAGTTCCTTTTCCTCTCTATTTTCTTCAACATCAAATGAAAACAAATAATTTGATGTTGAAATGTTAATTAGAAATCTAAGGTGACCATTTGGAAGTCACTGAAATATAACAAACAAATGTAAAAGAAGAATTTTATCTCAATTCAATCAGAATAGAGCTGGAAGGGACCTTGGAGGTCTTCTAGTACAACCCCCTGCTCAAGCAGGAGATCCTATATCGTTTAAGATAGGTGGCTGTCCAGGCTTTTCTTAAAAACCTCCAGTGATGAAGGCAAGCTGATCTCAGTATCCAAATCATAGGGAATCATATAATGGAGAGGACGTTCTGCCCGGTTTAAGATCTTATACTCCTACTAGCTGTACCCAGCCACGCGTTGCTGTGGCTCAGTCTGGTTAAATGGAAATGAAAGAAAAGAGAAAGCGCACGTTTGTAATATATCATGTTTTTACCTGTCACAGGTGTGGCATCTATATAATAGTAGGTATATAAAAACACGCGCGTATTCAAATGCAACGTTGTGTCAAAATTTCAAAGCAATCGGTGAAGAACTTTCGGAGATTTAAGATTTTGAACAAACAAACATTTACATTTTATTATATAGATTAAAGGAATTTTATCACTCCTGTTAATAACCTAATATAGTTCTTTGTTAATAATTTCACGTGAAACTATACATTGAATGGCTCTCAGGAGCATTTTAATATGTTAAAATCTCATTTGTTTTTGCTTAATCAGGTTTGTTTTATAAAAAATTCACTTTAGCTAAATGTGTTATTTATATCTATCCGATTTCTATTATTTTTATAAATAACACAAGGAGATGAAAATATTTGTATATTTTAGTTAACACTTTTTTCCCAATAAGAGAGTCTAAAATACCCACAGATTTCAATCTATTGTAAAATTGTTAGATTGTATGAATTAAAAGCCAATAGCTGTATTTAAAGAATAGCATATATCTACTTCATTTAAATAACATGAATCTTTTCAGTATTAAATATGTTGAACCAAAGGTGATAAGCTTCTTTGAACTTTTAAAGAAGTTTAAAAATAGAGAAAGAGGATTTACAATCTGAACTGGATGAAATAGGTGAAATTCTTTGTGATATAACATTTCTTTTAAATCTTTTTTAAACAAGTCTTCACATGTTGAATATTGGTCCAGTTCTGGATCAGATATAATATGTTGATTATAGTGTGAAATTTTCACAGTACTGCTGTGTTTTGGGCCTTATTTTACATGGAATCATTTGGCCATTAGCCTATCAATTTAAGTTACATGAATTGATATTTGTTCTTTATGAAAATCGATAATGTTTATGCTACAGAGGAAATTGAAACCAATATTTTCAATATATATATTCACACAAACATACCTAAAGTACAATGTTGAAGCATTTTAAAATATGAATTTGAGTGATATATTGGTATATCTATTTCCAGCCCCAATGTAACTTGTACACTCTGCCTGGATGCCCAAGGAATTTTAATCCAGTTTGTGGAACTGATGGAGAAACATATGCAAATGAATGTATGCTTTGTATGACAAACAGGTAATTTGAAACTAGAAGATAATTCTCTATGTCAGTGGTTCTCAACCTGTGGGTCGGGACCCCATTTGGGGTCGATCGACCATTTCATGGGGGTCGCCAAGCAAGGCTGTCTGCCATTTTTTTTGTCTGTCATTTTTTTTGTCCGCCATTTTTTTTCCCCTTTTCCGGCAGGTGCCTTACCTCCCTTGGGCTGGGCCAGCTGGTGGTCGGCCTGCTCCGTCTCTTCCGCTTGCCAGCTACGCCTTGGCCGGCGCAGGGGGCGGAACCACGCATGCACGGCGCTCCCGGGCAGGGAAAGTCCTCGAATTACAACCGGTTGGGTAGTCCTCGACTTACGACCGGTTTAGTCCTTGACTTACGACCGGTTTAGTCCTTGACTTACGACCGGTTTAGTCCTCGACTTAACGACTGGTTGGGGTTGTGGCATTAAAAAGGTTGAGAGCCACTGCTCTATGTGAAGTGGTGTGAGCTTTATAAAATTCAGTTGGGGTATCTGTGCTTAAGCACGCACTTCATTTCAACTTTCTGTCTCTCAGCTCCTGAGTCTCTGAAAACCTATTGGGAACTGGATGATTCCTCCATTTTGAAAAAATGTAACATCTGACCAACATTTATAGACAGGAGAGAGCCACAAAATTGAAAAAAACAGTTATTTCTCATATAATATACAGTACTGGCTATTTCCAAGAGTTAAATATTTACTTGGAAATAGCCATGCTTTTGTTTATTTCTTTCTTATGGGGTCTTTACATGACCTTGTATTAAAAATATTGTTTTAATAATGTTTGACTTTGGGGGGAGAATATACAAATGATGCAATCTTCACAAATGAAGATTTGTGTTTTTACAGTGTAGATCAAACAGATCATTGATAGTAGGATCATGCACTTATTGGGTAATTTATATCAATTTCCAATCCAATTTGCAATTCTAACACCAGGAAATATGCTTCCATAGATTGTTGATCCCACTTGTCAAATTTATTCTGTCTCTATGTTCCCTCTCAGAGTTCTCCTTCGGGGCTGTGTAAAAATTATCCAGCTGAATATGTTCTCAGTTTTCTCCTTAGAAACTCTCACTGTCTTTCTGCTGCATAACTTTTGAATTGATTGAGCAATGTAATCACAGAAAAAATTATGAAAGCACCTAACATAAAGCACTTCTAAAAACAAATACAAATTTGTGAGGGGAGAAAAATAATTGCCTATTTTTTGCTTGCTGGAGGAACATATAGAATATAGTAAGATTTGATTGCAAAGCTAGTTTTATCTCCTATGAAAAGCCTATTAAAATTCTCCTTATAGCGATGAAAGAAAAGAGATAACTATAGTAGTACTTCTTTGCAGTACCTACTACAATACATGCTAGCCTAACCTAATAATGTGCTTGATTTTTTTTTCCCTTACAGAGAAAAGGACAAGGACATACAAATTGCCTATAAGAGTGCCTGTTCATGAGAGGAGGTTCAAGGAACAGAAAAACAAAACCCATAATCTGCTGAAAAGTTGAAACCAAACTTTAAATGTGCCTTTAAAGCTGTTAAAATAAATGCAAGCTTCCGTGCTTTTATCCAGTTTCTGCATCTGCTTACTTCAAATGTTGTGTTGAAAGAACTTTTCTTTAATTTTGTGATGGGTTTTTGTTTTTAGATTTAAACCTCATTTCCCAAAGAAATCATTTTTAAACAACAGAAGGCATAAGTACTGTAGATCAAACTTAAATTAAGCTTGGATATATAGAACTCGGCAACTCTTGGACTTCAACTAAGGGATGGAGCCAAAAAATGCTCCTTTATGTTTTCTCAGACTAAGGAAATCAATATTTGGAACCAAATATAGTTTCTAGCAAGGAGAATTTGTTCCTTCTCTGATCATAAATGGAAGTAATTTGGTCTCATCTCATTATGATCTTCCTAGAAGGCAATGCCTTTTGGTCTTTTGGCATCCCTTGTTAACATGCAACATTCTCACAGGCTTATACAGCTATTGTATGAACACACACAGGCATATATTTGGCAAAAAGAAGTCTATAGATTTATAGTTATATGCACCATGAAACCTTGGCCACATAAAACTGTATTACTTAGACTTCTCATTAAATTTATAAATGGTGTGAATGCATGACCATTAACCCAAGATTGCAAATCCTCAGTGCTCATTATAAACTACTGTCATATTTTTTTTTCTACACCCCTTGCTCAATAACTCTATAGTTTCTTTCTCATTATAACAAATTCTCAGATTTTGGTATAAAACTCAAAATCACAAATTTTTAAGCCATATGATTATATTCAAAGCCTATTTCATATATATACATCCCTTCCATTATTTTAATATTCAATATTTGGATATTTCTAATATATTTTTCCTAATATAATTGACAGCCTTACATTTTAATATCCAATAAGCATGAAAAGTATTGAATTTATTTTATTTGAAACACTTTTATAACTGTTCGTATAGTAGCTACAATCTTGGGTAGCTCACAAGAATTAATCCTAATGTTTCAGTCATTGGTTATGAATATTGGATAGTTCAAATCTTTGCAGGCAGTCCTCAACGTACAACTGTAATTGGGACTGGAAATCTGGTCATAAGTCAAGGCACCCAGATATCCGGAAATAATTTTCTGGCCTTTTCATGGTAGCTGTTAAGTAAATGCTGTGGTCGTTAGGTCTAATTTGAATGGGTGTCGGAAACTGGCAAAAAAATGCTAGAAACTAGTAAAAAAAATCACAAATCGTGGTTACATGACTATGGGATGGGTCCTAAAGCTGATCTGCCTGACATGCAGTCATGTGATGGGAGGGCAGTGTGACCATTTATGATAGTTGGTGGTGCTTTATGGACTGTAAAGCATCTGTTCCATGGCTGTTGTAACTTTGGTCGTAGAACAGCCAGTTGTTGAGTATTACTTGTATTCCAAACGTCATACAAAGAATTAATTTCTTCCTTAACAATACCCTTTGTCTATTAAAAAATCTATAAATTTGAAATCTTAAAAAAAATCAGTACTGATAGTAATTCAGGAGTTATTCGTGCTGTTGAAGCATCTGCACCAAAATAGGAAATAAAAACTTTTTTGATTGAATCTATATACTACTAAAATTCTCACTGTACTTTTTGTTTGTACTCTCAAGTTAACCCAAACTATGCATTATATTGCAACAATTTTTAAATCAAAGTTACCTAAATTGGATAACTTAAATAATGTGTAAAAAATCCAGGACCAGAATCCTACTCCAGTGGAACTGAAATTTCCACCATTTTCATCCACAAACCTGTGCCATTGCAATGTCATCATGGTAACGTGATTGTGATTTTTGATGCCCTCTGCCAGCTTCTCACAAGCAAAGTTAATGGTGAAGCCATGAGGAAGTTGGAAGTTGCTCCTGCTCCCACTGGTTTTTTTTTTTTTTTTGCCTGCCTGTGGTCATTTCTTTTAGTGTAAAATTAAATAATGACTTTATATTGAAGTTCATTTGCCACAACAATCATTTTTCTATTTAGGATACATTACAAATTCTTAGATGATCATGGGATTGTTCAGCATTGGGCTAAACAAAAAATAATAAAGTTCACTCTGGTTACGTCTGATTGTACTACCTTTCTCTCAAAGGATGACAAACAAATCACAGCATTGTCTGGTATACCATGAAACTTTCTTCATTATCGAATTTTGAAAGCAATGTGTAATTCTCAATATTCTCTGGGCAAATCTGTTGAATCCAAAGCAGTTTATTTTTATGTTAACTTGACTTTAATTTCACAGCATCTGCTTAAGAGTTTGAAGCCGTCCGTATATTTGGTTCCATCACAAGGGGACACCCTTTCTTTAATAAAATACAGCAGAGAGGACAAGTGATGTATAATCACAAATCCAAAAAGCCTTCGTTTTTCCAGTAGTTTCCCTTGCGTTTACACAGCTGTTGTTTAAAAAATCATTTCCATTTGACCTTGCAGTCACCAATGCCATTATTCCAATTAAGTATGATACAGATTAAACTGACCTTGAAAGTTTGTAGTGTACTTGTAAAACAGCAAATAGAGCATTCATGAATATGAAGTATCTAAAATAATTAAAAAATGGAATATAATTTACCAGTCTGAAATAGAATATTAACCAACTTGTTTTTCAGTTTTAATATGGTTGCAAATAGTGATTATACTAAGTGTACAAATCAGACAGAGTTGAAAAAGTCTGAGCTATAACAACATATTTGTCAAGTATTGGACACCAAATATCCCAGCTACATGATATACCAAAAGTCAACATTTTCCCACTTGGAATCTTCCAGATGTGTTGGTGTAATAAATGGCAGCTGAGAATTCTAGGAATTGTAGCTTAACTCAAAGGTGCTTTTTTGTTTTTCCTTGAAAATGTTTTGCTTCTCATCCAAGAAGCTTCTTTAGTTCTTCATCAGAACTGAAGAAGCTTCTTGGATGAGAAGTGAAATGTCTTCAAGGAAAAACAAAGCCCAGTTGCCTTTTGAAAAAGCATCTTTGTGACAACCATGATGACTGAGAATCTTCATGGAGAATTATAGCATAACACATTTTACCATCAAATAGTGGAATTTGGTGTTAACAATGCAAAATGTATAATGCTACAAGCAAAATGTAGAATTCAAGAATTCTTGAGGTGAACCCCACCATAAATTAATCTCAACCTTGGGAACTTTAAGAAGGATGGACTTCAACTTCCTTACCCATTTTAAAGTTGCCAAGATTGAGAAATGGAGAAAAATACATGAAAAGCTCAAATACCATAGAATATACAAAAGATGCAGACATTACAACAGCTTAACCCTTCCTGAATCTTGACATACAAATATGCCCTATGGGAAAAAATATTTTTATTCTGTCACCGTGATAATGTCTTTGCCATGTCTCTAGATCAGGAATGTGCACAAATTGTTTTTAGCTATACCACTGTTAAAACATATTGCTTCTCCCTTAAAATGATTCCAGCTTTGGGGATGGATGTGAAGGCTGAATTCAAAATTGGCAAGAAGATGAATTCATCCTGCTGTTTCTGAACATGCAAGTGGTAGGGCTTGCATCATGACACTGCATCCAGCATTTCATCAGCTTGGTCCATGCCAAACAAAGGAATGAGGGAACCAACTTTCCCACTGGCTTGTGATGAAAGCATGGAGTCTCATTTGAAGAAAGGAAAAAAAGAATATGGATTTGATAAATACAGAAATCCAAATTGAAAGGGATTGAGGGGTGGTGTGTTTTTGTGATTGTGGTGCATTTTTCTTTTATTTAACTCTAGTCGACTATGGTTAAGACAAAATGGAATGTAGAACAGGACACCGGAAGGGACATTGAGACAGAATCCTGCTGTCAGATCCACCCTACTCCTGCCATAGCATTGTGATTGGTGGATTTCCCCCACCCCTCCAGCTGGGTGAAAAAGGAAGACAGCAAAGCCAGAGGAATCAACCAATCACTTTGCTTATCATGCTCTGTATATGCAAACACTGAACAGTACCATTTGGCAGTGAGTCAAAACAACTGCAGCAGTGATGGGCAGGGATCAGCAATGGCTGCTGCGGATTATGTACCGGGAAGTTTTCTACTGACTGAAGAAGGACTGGAGAGTATTTTAACTAGAGAGCATTTTAACTCAGCAGTGGGAAAAGAAGCATATGGGGGAATGACGCAAAGGCTGAGAGTGAACCTAAACCACTGTTTATCAAGGTGTAGCACAGTGTTTGTGCAATTCCATTTTAAACCGATTGCATGCTCTGCCAAGTGGTAAGGAGAAATTTATTCCGCCTTTGGTGCCTGCCCAGATTTCTGATCAGATGCAGAAATGTGATAAGACAGGTAGAACAAAAACAAATTATATCCAGTAACATATATTACTAATTTAAACTTCTTGTTATTGCTACTATTTTTTATTGTTGTCAGCCACTCATTGCAACTCACTGCCCAAAAACAAAACTACAAAGTATATTTTTAAAGCCCAACCAAACACTAATCCCTCTTACAAATATAGTGAACTCTGAGCAAAGTGGAAAGCTCGCATTACATAGATATAAAATTCATCATCAGCCAAAGTGAACAAGAGAAGCAAAACATAAAATTCACAAAAGAATGGGTACAATTCCTACACAAACACGGCTCTGGGAGGTTAACCATATGGTTAACCATATGGCTAAGTTCCCATGTACAGTTCCAGTCAATCATTTTATGTTTGAGTAGCAAATGGCTGCAAAGAAAAAATAACTATGGCTCCCCTTGTTGTCAACCAATAAAAGAAAAGAAAATAGTTGGCTGAACTAATTTCTTATTGCCAGTAAGATAAGCTGATGCCTACCATGTATTCAAAACACCCTCTTCATTAAAAAAAAATCCTAGATTCTATTGATCTCTCTGATATTTCCCACTTATTCTCAGTTATTACTGAGAGTGCTTACCAAACAAGTAACAGGAATCTTTAATAGCAAGAATTCAAAAATAAGTAAAAAACCTATAGCAAAATATCCACACACTTGGAAAGGTGCCAGGAAGCTTGTATTGGTATAAAGACAACTGTCCCAATTGACTACAGCCG